GAACTACTGATTACCTGTGGCTGTGGAGCGAGATCTGACAAAACATATAAGGTAATCTCATTTTCCTCCTGTAATCTTGCAATCTCCTGCCAGTGAAGGACATGGAAACTGGCTTAATGAGGTACAGAGAAGACATTCTCCAGGAGAACAATCTGGGGTACAGTGGATTGGGAGAAGCAGGAACACTCTTCATACCTTTGCAAGGTTATGCTGCTAGATCTATGAGCCCTCCTATGCCTAGTTTATAAGATGTTTAGAAAAGTGTTTGATATAGTTTACCAGGAGTTCCTCTTGGACAAGATTTAAAAATATGTTCTAGAAGCACAGATAATTATGGGCCTCCATAATAAGTTAAATAATTGCATCAAAGTCAACTGAATACTAGATAAATGCAAATCAGAAGGGAGTTTTATACACACCACAGTTCCTTTACCTTGTACAAATCTAGTTCAGTTATTAAAACTGCAGTTTTAATACTGAAGTTATAGAAGGGATGCATAGTTTCTGATTGCTAAGAAGGACACTGAGCAACAAGAATGAAAGACTTAGAATCCAAAAAGCTCTTGACAGCCTGTAGTAATGGAATAAAAAGATCTTGGTCAACAGGAACAACAGAATAAATCTAACAGTAATAAGTCTTTAGATTTGTTCTCAAATTTAAAAAGCCAGAGGCATAGATTTAGGACAGTGTATTAAAATGACTCAGACAAGTTTAGTGGAAGGTAAAGTCAATCTGAGTCATAAGCATGGCGATAACCCAAAAAAGCAGATTAGGTTTTAGGCAACTTTAATTTAACAAAAGAGGTGAAAATCCAAACCTGGGACTGTGTTGATAAAACCACACCTGGAAAACTGGATTTAGTTTTAAATGTTATGTATGACTTGTGATTCTGAGAAGAGTAAGTAGAAATGGAGAATACACTTATGAATTAGGCCTAACCATAAAAGCTGGTCTGGCTTTAATAACTGATGCAAATGACAACTTGATCGTGACCATGTTGAGATTACTGCTCAATCAGCAAGCAAAAGAGTAAGGTGCATACATGAGTTCCAAGAGTCGGTGGACAAAGTAACCTTTGATTCCCTACACACCCATCCACACCCCTAATGTGCAGAGTTCAGAATCTACCAAGATAGAGGACTCCAGGGTCAAAAGCTCACTAAAACTCACTCACTGTCCTTTAGAAAGGAAAATGGGCATTATCTCACAAGGATCCACCTTAGTACCATATAGAGAAATTCTCAGTGTGCCACTATGACACTTCTGAATTATCTTTCTTATTCTTTCATATGCCTATTTGAGTATAGAGCCATGTACTAACACATAATGAAAATCATGCCTTAGTAATAACTGAAGAGATTTGGGGCTAGTATAAAAAAAAAAGACCAAGCAGGAGATGAATGTTGTTCTAATTGTATTCATATACACTAAAGACTGTCATGTGGAAGAACAATTATCATAATTCTCTAATATCTCAAGAAATAAAATAGAGTCCTTAGAAAATCTGAAAGAGACTGATTGAGTGGTCCAGTTTTCAAAGGACAAAATGGTCTGCCAGGGAATGCAGAGAGTTTCTGATTTAACATATAAAAACACAGACTGGATGAATCTTTAGTAGACATGTTACTTAGGCGATTCAAGCAGGAAGTACGTGTTTAGCTTTTAAACGATAATGAATTTTCATGGTTCATTCTTTCATTTGGCAAACATTTATTGAGAACAAGTTAATGGTAAGTTAATGGGCTTATTAAGAGGCTCAAGCAATGGAGTGCCTGGCTAGCAAGCATAAGGCCCTGAGTTCAAATCCCAGTATTTTCAAAAAAAGGAGAGAGAGAACAAGTACTCAGCATTATCTTAAAAACTGAGGATTCATCATTAAATAGAAAAAAATCTATTTTCTCATAGACCTTAAGTCTGATGGCATAATAAAATAGTTAATAAAATAATAAAGTTTATAAAGAAAAATAAAGCAGGATGTGGAGACTGAGTGATGGAGACATAGGTAGGATGGTCAGGAAAGGCCTCCCTGGCCAATGAGCTCATTTCTCCATTGTACTAAATTTCTCTAAATCTTCAATCCTGATCCCTTCCTAAAGCCCTTATTTTTCTCCCATATGTTAATTACCCTCCATATGGTTTACTCTTTAACTCCTAAACCAAGAATAATTTCAACTTCTCAACCTAGAAATCCTTAGTGGTTAAACAATTACAATGAGGTTTAAAAGCAAACTGTGCCTAGCACTTAAGGTTTTATTTGGAAGTATACAAGGGTATCTTTATACATCTCATATACAGAACACTTCTTTCTCCACCCAAAACTTTATAATATTTTGGTTCAGATCTGTTTTTATGATCTTAGGTTGTTATTTCTTTAAGTAAAAGGGATGTATTTATTTACCCATAGCTCCTGACCATCTCAAGAAAGTTTTTATCTCCTTTCATCTATGTCATCCTCTTCCTGTAGTGAATAAATTAAAACCTTGATATTTAATTGGAGATTTGCATTTTATGACATAGGAGGAATCAAGATTCTCTGAGGTTAACTTCTAGCCAAATCTGTTATTAGACAAAGGAAAGTAAGGAACTAAAGTAGTATTATACCCCAAGCTTCAAGCTACTGGATAAGAGAGCAAAATTACACATAAACACAAACGGCATATGACTAACTTTTTTTCTTTCTTTCTGTGTGTGTGTGTGTGTGTGTGTGTGTGTGTGTGTGTGTGTGTGGTGTGGCTAAAGTAGAAGGGGATATTTGAAGGGTAGTTTAAAAAGATAACAAGAATAAATAATTTTCTGTTAACATAATGTGCAACAAGTTATTGTCTTAATTTTCTAATCAAAGATTCGTAAAGCCACACACTGTAATAAGGTGAAAATTACCTCAGAAATCATTTCTTTCCCAGGACCCAGGTCACTAGCAAGGTGAAATTAATTGCACAAAATAAGCAAGCACATTTTCTTTTACTATCCTTTTCTTTCTGCTTACAATGAAATCACACAAAAGTATTTTTAAATATTCAAATATTAAATATTATTAGCTATAAATATTTAAAAATTACAGTTCTGAAAAATTAGGAGAACCTGGTAATACTTTGAGAAAATACCAGGAGAAAAAAGGCAGCTAGGATCTGATCACTGGAGAAAATAGAGCAGGGAAATATGGCCACAACTACCCTAAGTAGAAAGGGCCTGAATATTCAAGGGATCTTCAAAGGCAAAGAGTGAGAGTAGACTGTGCAAAAATATCGGAGCAGCTATTATAAAGTCTCACAGGAAAAGGCAAGATTTCTTCCTCATGTTCCCTTCCTTCATGAATATGGAGAAAACAGTGATTAGAACTGAGATTTTAGGCCTCAAGATCAAACTTAACAACTGTGCATACACCTGCCCAGTTACATGCCTTAAGTCTCTGGCTCCTTTCTGCTTTCAGGTATGGATGGAACCCTACACTGCTGGGTTTCCCAAACAACTAGTAAAGAGCCTAGATAAGACAACCCAGTGATAGAGAAATTAATTAATTTCTGTGGGGCAAATTCTTATCAATGGGAGAGATGATTCATGAGGGCACCAAGCAGGGAAAAAAGAAAGTCCTCTTTTCTTGACTTCCTGTATGTAATTGATTGAGCAAATCTATGAAGGATTTCAGAATTCGCAAATCCATGCCTCAGAAAGAAAGAAGTGCGTTCGTTACTCATGCGGTGTAGTAAAAAATGTACGATGGCAGGAACACAGTGAAAAGTGGTCTTTACATTTCTTACAGCACTAACTGAACAGCCATCATGTGACCCTGCATTTGCAGTTCTGGGCTTATTCCCTCAGAAATGAAAATCTGCAGCAGGTTTTTAACAGCCCCAAATTACAAATAATCCAGCAGTTCTTTCACTGTGTGACTGGGGTACATCAGTACCACTGAATAGCACTCAGCAATTTAAAAGGAATAAAGTGCTGACTCACACCACTGGCCAACTCTCTTCCTCATACAGAAAACAGGTGGTCAGTTTGGTAAAGTGGACAATGGATGAATCTCCAGAAAGCAATGCTGAAGGAAAAGCCTCAAGGTTACGTACTACACAATTCCATGTACATAGAATTCTTGAAATGGCAAAATTCTGGGGCCACAGGGTAAATCGGTGAGAAGGCAATGTGGGATGGAGGAGGGGAATCCTTGCAGTGACAAAATGGCCTGTATTTGGAGCATGCAGAGGTATCATAGCTCTCCAAACCATCACGCACGGAGTGAGCGGGTAAAGGGTACGCAAGGGTCTCTGTAGTAGTTCTTACAAGTCCATGCGCATATGCCGTAAGCTGGAAATAAATAAGGGAACCTTAGCCTATTTGCACAGGACACACATATTTTGAAAACCACTGCTTGCAAATCACGGAAGGACACTCCCCAGGCTGGGTTCGACCCCTGAGAATGGCATTTCCCCCAAGATGGAAACATTCCCCAAATGCCCTAAGGGCAGGAGTTGGCTCACGTGGAGCACCAAGCCAACAATGAAGAGATTCTCAACTAGAGATGGCAACACGTGCAGAAAGGAAGAACCCCTGGGAACCAGCGGATGTAGATGGCGCAGCGGGCCTCAGTGACAGACACACTGGTCCAGCAACGAGAAGGCCATGCGTGGCCTGGCTGGGCCCTGGGTACTGAATTAAGAGCAGCCCGAGGCCGTGCCATTGTGCTGGCTGGATAGATGGATGCATGCACGCGTCCAGAACTGGAGCCCAGCCTCCACGTTGACACCGGGCCGCGGATCCTGCGGGGGTTCTGCGCCTCCGCTCCGCAAGGAGGAGCCTGGGCGCACGCAGGGGGCTCCGCGGTTCAGAGGTCACGCTGGACTGAGGGAAACCTCGGCTGAGCACGGCTTCGGGGTCCCGACCTTTCACCGGACCCCTCTCCCTCCCGCCCCGCCGAGGTTCTCCTTCTTCCCCTGAGCTCTCTCCACACCTGCCCCGAGGGAGGACAGGCGCTCGGCCGCGCGCCCTGCCCTCGCCCACCATGGTCCACCTGCGGGCGTCCGAAGTGCGGCAGCTGCTGCACAACAAGTTCGTGGTGGTCCTCGGGACTCGATCCAGCGGGCCGTGTACAAGGACCTGGTGCTCCTGCTGCAGAAGGACTGCCTGCTGTCCCCCAGGCAGCTGAAGAGCAAGGGCGAGCTGAGCTTCGAGCGCGACGTGCTGCTGGAGGGCGGCAGGTGGGGCCGCATGCACAATGGCACCCACTACCGCGAGGTGCGCCAGTTCTGCTCGGGCCACCACCTGGTGCGCTTCTACTTCCTCACGCGCGCCTACTCGCGGTACACCCACGAGGTCCTGGAGGAGCTGCGGCGGGGCCCCCACGCCCCGGACGTGGTCGTCATCAACTCCTGCCTCTGGGACCTGTCCAGGTACGGTCGCAACTTCCGAAGGTGCTACTCCGAGGACCTGGACAGCCTGTTCCGGCGCCTGGGTCAGGTGCTACCGGAGTCCTGCTTGCTGGTGTGGAACACGGCCATGCCAGTGGCCGAGATTGTCTCCGGGGGCTTCCTCCGGCCCGCACGCCGGGCCTGCCCCGCGCACCTGCGGGAAGATGTGATGGAGGCCAACTTCTACAGCTCGGTGGCGGCGGCCAGGCACGGCTTCGACGTGCTGGACCTCCATTTCCACTTCCGCCACGCGGGGCAGCACCGGCAGCGGGATGGCGTGCACTGGGATGAGCGCGCGCACCGCCACCTCACCCAGCTGCTGCTGGCCCACATGGCGGACGCCTGGGGCGTGGCCCTCCCGGGCCGCGAGCGGGTGAGCAGGTGGATCAGGGATGCCTCGGCCAGCAGACGTCCAGGCCCGACAGGTAGGAGGCATCCCCGAGATAGCCGAGGTGACCCACGCACTGGCCGGTGCCATCGCTCCTCTAGGCGATCTTCTGTGCCTTTTCATCAGCCTCGGGTCCCATTCCAGCCACACCACCACCACAACCACCACCGCCACCACCACCACCACCATCATCCCCCAGACGCGCGTTTGCCCTCGGGCCCATCTTTACAGCGCCAACCACACTTCGGGGACTCCTCAAGGCGCCGAGTCCAGTACACCAGGGAGGCCAACTCGACGTCAGTCCGCGAGCCCAGGCTGGGCCCCATCCGCAGAGACTCCACCCGGCACCGAGAGAGGGGTCTCCCCCTTACCCTCTCCGGCGCCCCAGTGAGCCACACAGACGCCATCAAAGATGCGCGCACAGACGGATGCACGACCGTCGAGAGACGAGGCCTTAGTAGCCAGAACCGGGCTCCTTTGCCCTCAGAGTCCCATGGCTGCCTGACTCTCCCTGGGCGTGGCCTTCAGCACCTTGGGAATACTAAAAACGTGCCATACTCACACCGGGGAGCAACCTCACAGATTTTCTTGTTGCTAGAACTGCCACACCACTTCTTGGGGAGGATGCCCAGACCCGAAACACCTCACCAGGCTCTTCGTAGCATCGATGCAGAAATGAATTACCCATGCAGAAGTGCTCCTCTCATTAAAAAAAGGAAAAAATAAACTTTACTTGAATGTAAATCTTCAAGCAACATTCTCTGTGAACAATCTTCCTAAAACCAAAACAAAGGTAAAAATGTTGATCCAAAACTTTTGACTTCAGTTTCACCATTTTAGTTTTTGCATATGTTCATAGAGGTTCTGCTCCAAAGCTTTTACCATAAGTTGTCTTGCAGATTGCATAGTTACATTGTCTGTACTTCAAAATAGCATTTGTCCTTTAAAAAATTCCCTAATACTTTTTCTATAGAAGCATTATCTTTATATCAAAGCTCATCAAATGCCTAGCATTTTTTTAAATAAGTAGGCTTTATATTTTAGAGCAATTTAGGTTCATAGCAAATTTGCGTGGGGAATACAGAGAGGTTCCCATAACCTGTCTGGTTCCACACAGGCTCAGCCTTCTACTATCAGTTTCCCACATCAGAAGGCATGTTTGTTGTATTTGGTGAACCTATGTGGGAAAATCACTATCACCCCAACTCAATAGTTTACACTCGGTGTTGTACATTCTATGGGTTTTGCAAATGTTTAATGACATATATCTTGTCATTATAATATTATTACCCTAAAAATCCTTTCTGCCTTTCCATCCCTCCCTCCTCCACATTCCCGGAAATCGTTTCTGTAATTCTGTTTTTCTAGAATGTTATATAGAGTCATGTAATATGTAGCCATTAAATGGGCTTGTTTCATTTAGTTTTAAGCATGTAAGTCCTTTTTGTCTTCTCATGGCTTGGTAGCTCATTTATCTTTAGCACTGAATAACATTCCATTGGTTATAGCACTGTTTATTGATCTATCCACCTATTGAAGGACATCTTGGTGGTTTCCCAGCTTGGAGTTGTGAATAAAATTACTATAAACATCTGTGCACTGGTGTGCTGTTTTTTTGGGTGAAAGCCTTGTTTGGGTAGATATGCTGTTGCTAACCATGTGGTAAAATAAGTATGTTCAGTTTCCTAAGAGATTGCTGGGCTGAGTATAGCTCAGTAGAATGCTTGCCTATCATGCATCATGGGTATCATGGATGAGACCCATGGGTTCAGAGGGGTTGGGACAGGAAAGGGGAAAGGAGAGGGGAGAAGAGAGGAGAGAAAGAGAAAGCAAAACCTATGAAACTGTCTTCTAAAGTGCCTGCACCATTTTTACTTTTATTCCCATCAACAATGAATGCGAGTTCCTGTTGCTCTGCATCCATTCAAACATTTGCTGTTATCAGTGTTTTGGAGTTTTTCTTTTTCCTGGTGGGTATAAATTATGTGTTTATATTATTACTATCCTAATTATTATTATTATTATTAGCACCTGAATGTCCAGCTGCAGTACCATTTACTGAGGTTATATTTTCTTTGTTGCATTGCCTTTTGCTTCTTTGCCAAAGATCCTTTGACTGCAAAAGCTGTTTCTGGGTTCTCTATTCTGTTATAGTGACCTCTTTGTCTATTTTTTCACAAATACCATATTGTCTTGATTATTGTAGCTTTATACTAATTCTTGAAGTTAAATATTTTTAGTGTCTAACTTAGTTCTCCTTTAATATTGTGTTGGTTATCCTGGATCTTTTGCTTCTCCATATAAAAGTTAAGAATGAGTTGATCAATGTCTACAAATAGCTTGCTGCAATTTGCGTTGGACTACATTGAGTTTATAGATCAAGTTGAGAAGAACTACATACTGACAAAATTGAATCTTTTTATCCATAAACTTGGATGCTCTGTTTATTATTTCTTTGATTTCTTTTATTGGAGTTTTTCAGTTTTCCTCATATAGATCTTATACATATTTTGTTAAATTTGTACCTGTGTATTTCATTTCTGGTGATGCTTATGTAAATGATGTTTATAATTTCAAATTTGAATTTTTTATTGAGAGCATTATATTTCATAAAGTCAAAGATATTTGTATTTTTACCTCATATATTCCAACCTCACTATAATCACTTATTACTTCCAAAAGTTTTTTTGGTTCATTCATTTGTATTTTTTATATACTATAATGTCATGTATGAACATGGACAGTTTTATATTTTTCAAATCTGTTATTTCCATTCCTCTTGTTAACACATTAGGTACGACTTCCAACATAATGTTGAAAAGAGGTAGTGACAGGTAACATCTTTGTCTTCTTAATCTTAGTGGGAAAGTTTCTGTTTTCTCACCATTAAGCTGATGTTAGCTGTGGCATTTTTGTAGGTTTTTTTCATCAGATTGAGGAAGTCTCCCCTCCCCCACTGATTTCTGGTTCAGTCTTTATCATGAGTGGGTGTTGGATTTTTTCAAATGCTCTTTCTGCACCTGTTTATCTAAACATGTGACTTTTTCTTCTTTAGCTTGTTGATGCAATGAACTATATTAATTGTAATTAATTTTTGTATATTAAACCAGACTTGCATGTCTGGACTAAATCCCAGTTGGTCATAGTGTATAATTCTTTTGTACATTATTGGATTTGATTTGTTAATATTATGTTAAGGATACTTTGCCCCTCTCTTCATGAGAGATACTGGTCTGTAATTTCTTTTCCTGTAATACCATTGTCTGATTTTAGTATTAGAGTAATTCTGGCCTCATCGAATGAGTTAGGAAGTAGTCCCTATGCTCTGTCTTCTAGAAAAGATTATACAGAACGGAAATAATTTCTTTCTTAAATGTTTGATAGAATTCACCAGTGAACCCACCTTGTCTTGGTGTTTTTTGTTTCAGAAGGTTTTTGTTTTTGGTTTGTTTTGGTTTTAGTGCTGGGGATTGAACCCAGGGCCTCATGCATACTAAACATGCACTCAACCTCTGGGCTACACCTCCACTGTTTCAGAAAATTTTTAATTATTAATTTTTTTAGTAGATGTGAGCTCATTGAGATTGTTATTTTGTGTGGTTAGCAGATTTTATCTTTCAAGGAGTTGGTCCGCTTTACAATTTTTATTATCTTTTATTTAACACTATCTACTTCTTTCACAATTAATGCATTTTTTCAAACTTTGGGTAAAAAATTAGTCTACTTCCTCATCCACTGTCTTTGCTTAGAATTTTCTATTGATTATCTTTGCTAGGACCCTTTATCTGATAAAGAATGGGTTTACACCAGTCTTCTTTCAGTCTCATCTTTGCATCCTTTCCCTGGCTTAATTGCAGCATAATCTCAGGCTAGAAGTCCTTCTGCCAGGTTGAATGGAGCAGGATGGCAAAGTAAACAAAACAAAGTGAACATCATCACATATTCAACTTTATTACATAAATTGAAAACTTGAAAGCAACATTTCCATCACACTTCCTCAATAATGAAGGCCATGGAATTTCAATAATTAAAAGACAGAGATTAGTTCATGGTGATACAAAGTGTTTTCAGGGAACTAGGTTACTGCCTGGAAATAAATACCATTGAACATTGTCAACATATGCCAAGTCTCCATGTCTCGCTTTTCATAATTCTCTGTACTAGGTTCCTTTGGAAAAGGCTCCATCCTTATCCCACCCTTTGCTAGACTCTCCCCACCATTTTCGTGGGCCATAAACTCACTAATGCATACCCATGGCAGGAGACAAGTATCATTTCAATGCATCTTGTGTCACAGCCTCATCAGTCCTCCATGCACTGAGAAAAGACTGCAGCCCTACAGCCTCTTTACTGGGGTTTTGTGCATGCTGCTTAATTTCACTGCATCTGTCAAGCCATTCTTTATTGGAGAGTCTAACAGCCTTTGAGTGCACGGTGCTCTATCACTTACGTAGGGGTTATATTGATCTTTCTGGTGTGTGCTCTAAAGTGTCTGGCATCAAAAGCCAGTGAGGCAGCCGGTTTGAGCAGTATAGGCCATTTACAAACTTCAGGATGAGATGCCGCAGGATGCCAGGGAAAACGTTTTTGTTTTTCCAGAGGGAACCATAGTTCATGAAATGTGGTTAACGTACCATTTTTGTATACCCTTAAAATCATTTTATAACCACACTGAGTGCCTCTAAACATTAAATATATTTTATAAGTAGTTGGTTAACTAGCTGTTGTATGCTTTAAATAGTAAATAAAATGGAAAGGCACTAAACAGTGACTATATTTCATAGAGTAAGATGCTTTTCTAGCCACTCAATAATTCTCAATGTTCAGAAAAATTGATTTTCTAACTGCTGAGTGCCTCTAAAAATTAGCATCTTATCTTCCTACAGGGGATGTTTTTTAGCTAGTCTCTTTTATCTCAGCTTTTGACTTAATGGTTTCTAAGGTTTCCTTCTTACTAAAAAATTTCTATAGGTTCTGTTGGATTATAGCTTCACTTGGGCACATATATAATTAGCTGGGCAAAAATATAAAACAGGAAACAATTGCAGCTTACTTTTTTAATGTTAATTGCAAATGAATAGTTCTTCATCCACTGCCTGTTCATTAACTTCCAACTCCTCCCTCTCTTTAGGAGTAGGACTGCATAGAGGGACCAAGTACCTTCACACAGCACTTCTGAGCAATAAATGCATTTTTCATTTATGAAAGCCTAACAGGAGAAAGGACTTTCCAACAAAGTAAAAATTTCTTCGTAGCAAGTCATTTTTCTAGTTTTTATCAACTCTTTTTGGCCTTTAAAAAAATCATATTGCCAAGTCTGAGGCTTTCCAGACAATGCAAGAGTGACTCACCACATTATAGAATTGAGAACCAAATAATCAGGCACTCCATAATTACAGAAAACAGCAGTAAAATATGATTCAACTTTTAGTTCTGCCTAACCCAGCTGAGTGACTGTTGGGATGTCACAGGGCCTTCCTGAGTAATATGTAACTTCATGATAAAATGAATGGTTTAAGCTAGATTCTAGAATCTAGTGGCTGGATAACCTATGTGGATTCCTTTTAGAGCCAACAATTTATAAATTTCTTCTTGCCTCTTATCTCACTCTGAATAGTCATGCTCAAATGTTCCTACCAGCAGAGGGTGGCTAGCGTGTTGAAGCCTGAAGAACAGATAAGCATCGAGCTTCTTAGTACATGTGCTTATTCTTAGAAAAGAATGCC